ATGTTTATAGGTTTATCTAATATATCTTTAAATATATGTATAAACTAATATATGCCTTCTTGTATATATATATATATTTGCATTTTGATTTTAACATCTATGTTTCTGGGTATGTACTCACCTAAAATCCCAGACCCCGGCCCCATATCTTGAAACACATGTACTGAAAGACTCGAAGTGTCTTGGCAACGTTCATTGTCTCCGAGATCAGCTCGAGCAAATGAAAATTTGCTAGCGAAACAAGAAAAGACAATGTCAAGGTGCAATGCTTTTTTGTCAACGAAAATAGCTACGAAACGATATGGAAGGTACGGACGGTACCGAAGGATTTTGAGACAAGGTGCAAGGTCGGGACAATACGAAAGATGCCGAAGTCGAGCGTTTATTCTTCCCCCGAGGTCGCGGGCGGAAGCGACCGACGGAGACGGAATGTTTCCAGAATGAGCAATATTCATACTTGCACAGTTCTTTATCTCATATATATATATAGATTTTTACACAAATATGGAGTCATGCCTGTATCTATATGTATATTTATACCCCGATGCATATATGCATCCTTTTCTGTACATGTATACATATCTGAACCTATATCACGCCTATCTTTGCATATTCATCGGTATTCACCTGTTCACTAAACACGAACTTACATCTTTCCTTATACATATGAAGATTTCTATATACCTATATATTTGAAGTACCCATGGACGTATCTATATCGATACATAAATATATGAACCCGTATATTTTTTCTTCTATATGTCTATATGCTTGTTCCTTTATATATCGAAATATCTATATATCTATTTGTATATTTGCCCAGATACTTATCTATACTTACACTTATCTGGATATATATATACACATGCATATGTATATGCTCGTATATGTTTCTCAACAATATGCCTACATGTCCATGCATTCATGTTTACATGTTTACGTGTATATCAACATATATATATATATAGATGTGCTACCCCCCGCATGAATCCGCAGTTTGTGTGTTTATATAAACAAACAACAACAAACCTAAACCCAAAGGAAGCCCAGGGAAGCAGTGAGGCGCTCGTCAAGACCGCGCCGAGCACCTGCGGCAAGGGCTGA